AAGGATAACGTCATTCTTGTTCTTTCACCTTCTCCCCTCCTTTAATTTGACTTTACTTCTCTTATTTAGTTAATAATCCAAGAATGTTGCTAGAGCAGCAGCATTTTGATTAGAATCCCCCTCAGCATTCCAGGTGATGGAATGGAGTGGGGACAGTGTGAACAGCGGAGCCCTGGCATCCTGTTCTCAGGCTGGGCTCCTGGGTGGGTTCACGTTGACACAGCATGTGGCTTCCCTTGCTCCCTTCTTCTGGGACACCCTCGTTGGCTATTTGACACCAAGCATTAGCTCTGACCTGGACATTAGCCCGAGCAAGTTCTGCGTAATTAAGCTACTGAGATTGGTTTTCCCTGAGTGGACAGGAGAGCCTTACAAGGTAGAAGCTCTGCTGAAGTGATAAAGCTGATTAGATCCTTAGCAATAAAGGAATCTGATCTTAGAAATTTCCTCTTCGTCTCGTTAATGAGGCAGAGACAACACTTAGCGGGGGAAATGAGGTCACTGAAAAAGAGAAACATTTTTTTTTTCTTTACTAAAGAACCAATTCTTTCACTCCATTTTAAATCAAGGCCTAAATTTATTGTCCAGAATAAAGCCCAATTTAAATGAACAAATAAGACACTTTTCCTCAGGGATGTGGTAAAACATGTTTAAACTTATCACCTACATGAAGCAAAGTAAGTAAAACAATTCAAGAAAGTAAAACTAACTAAGATAAGCCCAGAATTGGCATAATTTAATTAATGCTAATTGTAACAAAACTGAAATAATGAACTGATTATTCAGCTGCACAGTCTATTCATAACACTGTATTTTTTTCCAAAAATAATTTTCTCATTTTTTCTGTCCGTGCCTTCCCTCCTTCCCTTTCCTTGAACTACCATTCAACCATTCAAGCAAATAAAGCTTGTTTTCCTGGGATACACTTATGCAAATGTTATATATTAACAATGTTTATCATCTTACCTTTTCGTTTACATAGTACTTTTACAGATGCTACTATTTAAGCTTCATGGAACTTTATAATGAAAGCTGCATTATCTCCAAATGAGCTGCTAAGTCACTTCAGTCATGTCCAACTTTGTGTGATCCCATAGACGGCAGCCCACCAGGCTCCCCCGTCCCTGGGATTCTCCAGGCAAGAACACTGGAGTGGGTTGCCATTTCTTTCTCCAATGTGTGAAAGTGAAAAGTGAAAGTGAAGTTGCTCAGTCGTGTCTGACTCTTAGCCACCCCATGGACCGCAGCCTACCAGGCTCCTCCATCCATGGGATTTTCCAGGCAAGAATAATGAGACTTGGCTCTAAAAGGTTATGTGATTTGCTCAGTGATTTGTATACAGGAAAAGAGGGTGTCAAAAACAAAATTTCTCATACCTGAGAATGTGACCTGTACCACAATTGCTTCAAATTATACTTTATTTAAAGTTTCTGATTTTCTCTTCTGTTTCTTGCTAAGTCTTTGTTCCAATATTTAGAAAATGACATAACAGTTGTATCAAAACCTTCACAGGAAATGCAAATTGGGTATACACACACTCACACATGCACTCACATATATTTCTGTCTTTATCGATTAGCCCTCTTTTCATCATGAAGCAATTGTCTTCCCACAGAAATCTCTTTTACTTCACAACTTCAGCTTATTCCAGGGAAATTAATGATCATAAAGTGCAGACCTGAAGGAGAAGAGAATTAGCATAGGAGCCAGTTCATGGTGGGAGTGACTGAAGAAGGGGTGGGTCATCATGCAGCCTGCCGTGTCCCCGTCACGGGCTTTTGGGTGTGTATTGGGATGGTATGGAAATGGAAAGGGTGTCATGCTCATTATACTTCTATTTGGTCAGTATAATACCTGATTAGTTTGCTATTTAAAATGACACTTTAAAAAGTTAACATATTAGACTTTTAAAGGAAATTTAAAGCTTACTTAAAGGAATATTCCACTGTGTTTGTGTCTCTAACTTGAGAGGAAATATAGTGAAGTTGATAGGTTAGGACCTGGAGGTTGGCTTGGGTTCATTCTTTGCTCTAAGACTTGTCAGTTGTTAGACTTCGGTGCAGCCACTTAACTTTTCTTTAAACTGAGGATAAAAGTAATATCTACCTGGTGTGATTCTAATTAAGAAATAATATTTGTGTGTGTGCAGAGAGAGAGGTAAGGAGAGAGGAGGGAAACAAAAGTAGATGTGAGCCTGAATGAACATGCTCAGTTAGAATAGTCTCTTGAGTATAGTAAGTGCTCAATAAAAATTCCCCTCCACTTCAGTAATACTAGCTGTGTCAGATATTACCAGAAGACTCCTAATGGCTAACTTTAATTGATTCTTTTTTAGTTTTCCTTGAGCTCTCTCCTGCATTTCATGCTTTTTGCCGTGACCTGTGCTTGCATGCTAAGTCTCTTCAGTCTTGTCCAACTCTGTGACACTATTGACTGTAGCCAGCCAGCCTCCCCTGTTCATGGGGTTCTCCAGGCAAGAATACTGGGGGGAGTTGCATGCCCTTCTCCTGGGAATCTTCCTTATTCAGGCATCGAACCAACATCTCTTAAGTATCTTGCAGTGGCAGAAGGAATTCTTTTCCACTAGCGCCACGTGGGAAGCCTACATCTGTTTTATTCAGACTCTCAAATTTCTAGTTTATTGTTCTCTTTTTGCACTGTTACTGCAAGCTTCCGTATTTTCACTTTCTCCCATAGAGGTCCTAAGTCTGTCCTAGAACCACAGCCTGATTGCAGAATTGGCAAATATTCCCATGAGAAACAAGAATCCTGGGATCACATTAGAGAGACCCTGTACTTCAAAATTTGTGCACCTTTAGATGCCATTGTCTATGCAGATGTTTTAAAATTATAGTTATTATAATTTATTTGGCCTTTTCTAATCCTTTTGGTGGGAGTGTTGACCTGCCCGTAACCTCCGGATCCTTCTCTTCCTTCCTCGACCGTTAGGTCTGAGCTGTCCTTTGCCGACCTTACTTCTGCTGGCTGTCGTCTTGCCTTCCATTGCAGTGGTTTATTCCTCTTTATCTTCCTATGCCATATTACTCACCTTTAACTTTCAGATCTATAGCTTACTCACTACCGTGATGATGACTTTCAAATCTATAGCTTTATTCTAAACCTATTTCTTCACTCTGAGATATATCTATTTAGTTATCTCCTAAGCATTTACCCCATATGTATTTTAGCCTTAGCGAACCTATTATGTCTGAAATGTACTTAGTTATCTTCTTCCTCAAATCTGTACCTTTTTCTGTATAACGTGTTCTAGCTAGGGATCCTGATAATATTGGGATATGGGGCAGGCTGCCCAATTATGATTAATGATGCTTAATGATATACTGATTATTTTGAATTGAAGATACTTAGCAATGGCCAATGCAAGAGGGGTACTCTGACTGTCCTTTCCATCTCTCTGAAAGCAGAAAGTAAGTTTCTCATGTGAAAGCTGTACCTTCTGCCTCTGGGGGTAGAAAGACACCCTTAACACCGGAGGTCGAGAATTTGAAGCTGAAAAACCTGTGTGAACAAACATGTTACTTCTCTAATTTACTGCTCCGGGTCCAAACTCTGTTTAGGTTCTTCACTAACTGAGCACAAAGTTTCATTGCCCACTTCCCCACTGATTTATTGTTTCTTCGTCTAGAAAGCATAAAAGCTCCCTGCTTCGGCCATTTCTTAGGTCCCATTTCTATGAGGTCTCTCTGTACAGGATTAAAATTTGATCTTTTTCTCGTTAATCAGTCTTGTGCCAATTTTATTATTAGTCCAGACACAAGACTCAAGAAGGATAAAGAGGAAAATTTCCTCCTTCCTGGCAATAGACAATATAGTGCAGTACAGTCCCTAGGGACCCAAGCCAGAAATCAGAATTGTCCTATTATTTCTCTACAACTAATGAATCAATATTTTCTATTTTTTAATATTTCCTTAGCATTATTTCTTTATCTTTCCTTTTTCATCTCATCTTTCTATTTTCACTGCTACTAGAATCTTTTGGTTTCTAGTCCTTCCTTGGGGCCATTCTTCACCTTTGAAGCAAATATATTTCTAGTAGATCAATTTGATTGTATTTTATTCCTATTTTAAACATAAATTTCCAATGTGTTTCCTAAAATATTTTGCAAAATACTTCTATGATGACCCATGTATCTCCATAAATAAAGGAGCCCATCATAAAATAAAATATTTAAACTTGGCATGCTAAATCTATTTTCTCTTGAAAAGTAACAGCACACATTATTAAGGTTAAGGGAAAGTCTTAAGTAAGTTCTACTGTTGACTATAACAAAATTCTATAACATGAGCTTATATTTGAACACTGATTTTTAAAAACATATTTATTAAAATGTTTGTTAATACATACATATATTTATTTTAAAATTGATTAACTATTTACAGGATATACTCCTAGTTTTCACTTCCTTGGTATTCAAAATCTTCCATGCCTAGTTCTCTGATTTTATCTCCTCTGTCTTGAGTTTTAGTAGCCATACAGATTACGTTCATTTGGTTTCTATTTTATGTGGTTGCTTTTACCTGGCATAATATCTATCTAATGACCTCTTTTCTTTGAAAATTCAGCTATTGCATTTAAAACCTTAGATCAGTTGATGTCTTAGCTGGTTAGCATGCCACTTCAAGTTGATGCTCAATGTATGTGAAATAAATTAAAAAAATGGAAAAAGTCAGTAAGGGAAAATTTAGGGATAATGGATTTTTTATATCTGCCTATATATTGCCCATTCAGGAAATCAATGATATTTGCTTAAAAAATTTATTGAGAACTGCTGACCTCAATAATTTAATTGCTCTTCAAACAATATTTTGTTTTCCTGTACATGTTTTAAGAAATTACTCACATTATAAGACACCGTTTTAATTTTTATAGGACAAAAATTAAATTTTAGTTTTCTTAGGTGTGTTACAGCTATTCTTCCTTCACTGTGAAAATACCTTAAAAATGATTGTTGTAAATGTTTTCTGTTTCTTCCTGACAGGTAATATTTGAAGCTGAAGTCTCAGGAGGGAGAAGTGGTTATATTGCCATTGATGACATCCAAGTCCTGAGTTATCCTTGTGGTAGGTTGTGATTAAGAATTGTATTTTTCTACCTCCTTTCAACACTTGTCTTATATTGGTAGTGACTGTTGATTGTTTAGCACTTGGTCATTGCTGTCTCTTTTGTTGTTGTTATTTCTAGTTTTCTGTTCAGTCTAAAAAGATCACTGAGGTATTTCTAGAGTTTTTGAATCAAATGTTTTTCAGACTTGTGCACATGTTAAAAGATTCTTTTCATTGTTCAGTTAATGTTCAAAAGAAAACCACAGTCTCAAAATGGTGTCACTCATGCTAAAATTCCATGATACCAAACCTAAATTTATACCTGATCTAATTTCAGTTTCAGCCTCTTCCAAAAACCTAATCTTCATTGGCTTGTCTTGATTTTATGGTCAAGCACCAGTAAGAAAATCTGTCCTGTGATCCTTCTCTATGCCCCAGAGGAAGAAGAGGTGATCTGAATCATAAAACTCTTGCTGTTCCTTTTTGTCTTCAAAGAAGAAAAATAAATAGTAATTTCTTTTCTTTTTGTTAATAGCTCCCTTGTCCCACCCTTCTTGTAAAAACTTTCTGTTTGTATAACCCCTTGGATCTGTCTTCCAGTTGATAGATGGAATGTTGCCTCATTCATGAATCTCCTAACAAAGCTGATTAGATCTTCAATTTATTTAGTTGATGTTATTTTTACAGAAGAAAATAAAAATCAAGGGACTCACTCCATCTTTTGACTTTATTAAATTGCCTAGGAATGCAAAGAATAACAAATCAGAATTCAGTGAAAAGAAGCTGTATTAACTTATGTGATCTAAGTTGAAACTTGGAGGGAAATGAATTAATTCATCTTATTCTTAATTTAGAACTAATCTTTTCATGTCATAGTAAATATCTGGCTAATTCACAATAAACAACAAGACAATAGAAAGCATACAAAACAAGAAACTGAATTTATTTGCACATCATTTGGTATGTCCCAAACATTAGTTGGTTTTCAGATGGGGTAACTAAATTTGTGTTTACATCACATACCCTGAAAGACATTTATTGCATGCATTCAGTAGAGCCAGGCATAAAGCGTTCATACTTCAGCTATATCTCCCAACAGCAGCATTTTTTAGGGCCCATGAATCCTAGGTGATCTGTTCCGTAATCCTCCTGGTGGAAATTCTCTAATAGTTTGTAAGCAGCATGTGCAAAGGCTGCCATGCCAAGACTCATACTCCTGCTAACTGGTTGTCAAGCCCTGATGTGCAGCAGAATCGCCAGCAGCATGTGGCAGATCACAGGTTGCCAGGCTCCTCCTGGGTCTCAATGTTCTCAGGAGATTCTAACGCTGCTGGTCTTTGTTCCCAAGACAGGAGCACTGTTCTAGCTTCTGTTTAGTGCAAGCGTTCCTTTTGTGAAGCACCTACTGAGATGAGGCCCGAGGGGAAGATGAAGCAGGCAAGAGTCAAATGATTGTGGTGTGGCCTAAGAAATACATGTAGTCAAATACATCTGATGTAATCTAAGAAAAAGGGGAACAAAATGATCTCACTCAAAGTTCAAGTTGGCTTGCTAAACTCTTTCAGTCCATTCATATATGAGAACCATGTTTCCATCTATTGTTCATTTACACGCCTTTTGAAAGAAGATGTTAAGAAAGACTTTCACGAGTTAACCAAATTTTTAAAAAAATATTTAAATTGAGCACAACAGTAGTTTCATTGTGATATGGTCCTCCATGCTCTCTCTTTACTCACTGAGGGTTAGCTTTTCTTGTTTATAGTTCCTTTCAGTTGAAAACATACATAGCTTTAGCTTTAAAAGGTAATTATAAGAGTGTGCTTGTTTGACAGTTGTGTAAGTCATGTATATTTTGATTGCAGTCGTTACTGTTTTGTTGGCCTAATATTTCTTTCGGGTAACTTTCTTAGGACTATAAAGCAATAAGTGGATTTAACAACAGTTAAATTAATGCTCTACTTGAGAGAAGGAAGAACAGTCCCTTGTTCTTTGAAGTACTAGAGGATTATGTAGTAGTTACTGAAATTTTTAAAAAAGGGAAAGAAAGCTCTAACTGCTACAAGTGTGATTTAATAGTTCAACGGCCATGTACACGTCCATGCTTGAGTCGTCATTCTGTTCCCATTATATCTTTCTATTAGGCCACGCTTTGCACCTGTTTAATCTCTTTTGATTGCTTTGATACGTAACTTTTATTGTCCCCTGTATGCAGCATGCTGCCGGGGTCCTCAAGCAGTAATTGTTGGGTGCTCACTGTACGGGATTGCTCTATCAATTATGGTGCAATACGCAGTAGAGATCCTGAGATAAAGAGAAATGACCCTGAGAGATGCAACGGTGTCTTTCAGCCCTGAGAAAACTTCCATATGACATTAGTCTTGGCCAAAGCTTTAAAAGTATTAACAACATTATTTTGTTGGGAAAAAATAACACAGCATGTTTTCTTCATGTGAAAGAAAATAATTTTTTCTTGCCTTCACAGATAAATCTCCTCATTTCCTCCGTTTGGGGGACGTAGAGGTCAATGCAGGGCAGAATGCTACTTTTCAATGTATTGCTACAGGGAGAGACGCTGTGCATAACAAGTTATGGCTGCAGGTAAGGCCACGTGGCAGCTGAGATAAAGAGTACACTTGATTTAAAAAAAAAAATCACAAGTTATTTTTCCTTGTATGTGTGTGGTGGGCATGGGAGGATGGAGTGTAGTGAGTCTATGTGTGTGACAGGTTGTCTTTTCTGTAGGTTTAATTTAATTGGCTGCAGATTCATTTCAGATAGTTCCATTTTTGGAATATGAATAACACTGTAATTAATAGGTGTTTGGGTTAGTTCCTTGTGAAACCTAATGATTCTCCAATGTTATGTCCAAACTGTAAAAACAATTTTTCTAGATTCATTCAAAAATGGAAAAAAATGAAAAATATCTCATTTAATATTTTGAAAGCTCCGCTTATAAGAGCATAGTCCTTAAATAGGAACTGTCATACTGATAAATTTTTTCAAAAGTGTTTTAAGAAATCTTTGGAAATGTTTCTGGAAATGTGAATTGGAAGAGAGCCAATTAAATTATTTTCAGGATTTTTTTGTGTAGGGGTTAATCACAGACCTGAGGACAAGATATTTGCTGTGCACATATTAAATTTGCAGTAAATGTGTATATAGTGAATTGCAGTTTAGCATACACGTTGGGGAAATGTAAATGGTGTATATAAAGAACTTTAAAAGAATCTGTGAGAAAACAGTGACTAAGGAATGTGCCATGCCTTCAGAGAGTTATCTGTCAATCCTGGGGCAGAGGTTGGTGGGAGGGGCTAAGAGCAGCTCTAAAGCCTTGAGGCTGGACTCAGGACTGAGGACTGTTGATCTAAATATTTGAAGCTAGAATGTAAGTAATATCCTCTGAGCACCTTTATTATTGTTATTATTATTTAATTCTTGTTTGCATCAGAATGAGGAAAGGGATTTAATTAGAGTTTTAAATTCCTGAGAATGTCAGTAGAGACCAAAAAGGAAAATCATTAGCTTACTTTCTTGAACATAGACATCAGGCTTTAGTTTATGATACCTTTAGGGAGGTAACATTAGTGTTGAGGGTCATCATTAGTGTTGAGGTAACATTAGTGTTGAGAGTTGCAGGAGGTTGGAGTAATGATTATAAGAAATGATTATTAAAATCATTCCTAGTATAATGCCTGGTATTGTACTGGGTGTTATAAATGTGTTTTTTCATTCAATTCCCACATCTACTCTAATGTTAATAATAGATATATTTCATATAAATCTAATTATCACTTTTGTCATTTATTTGATATGTGGGTATTAGGATAGCATCCTAAATATGTGTAAAGGAAATAAAGTCTCTCCTTTTTTTTTAACCCTGTGATTATCCTAATTTCCCCCACAGATATTGAAGTATAAGATAATTCTTCCTGTAGAGTGTGCTGTATAATGTACAACCTGTTTTATTATCTAAACATCAAATCACAATCATTCTTACTTTCTCAGCCTAAATAGTGCTAAGAATGTGTTTAGATATATTTTCTAATTATTTTGCTAATTGTTTTTCATTTAGTTAGGAACATTGCTGGCATTTTATTTTAACTGTGGTCTGTATACTCTTGTCTTGGAGAACCAGACTCTGTAGTCTGCCCCTGGTCTTATGCTCCAGGATTTAATGTGACATTGAAATAAAAAGGGTTTTGTATACTTCAATACTAGTTGCCTTGTTGCAACAAAGACTTTCTGGCCCTCCTGGTCTGAGTAGGTTTCAGTAAAAATACTTCTCATTTATTATTTTTTAGATTGACTCATTTCATTATAGTTTTAATAAATTTTCTTCTTGTCCTTTTTCAAATAAAGATGAAAGATAAAAATACTCTGTTTGATTTCTATTCAACTTTCTCTTTTCTTTCTCTTTACATTTTCCAAGGTGAATTTGTGTATTTCTTGTCTATTTTTACATTATCCAATTCTTCAGCAGTTTACATACTTATTCATGAAAAAGTTTTTCTGTCTTTTCCAATAATAGACCAGTTAAATTACCATAACTTCTTCTCTCAAATCATTCTTCTCTATATTTAAGATATATTGAAAATTATCAATTGCCTAGTTTAGAAATGTTTTCAAATAAACAAGATTGAACTGTAGAGATAAAGTTGTAGATATATACATATAATTGATATCTGTATCTGTATAGAGTAAGTGAATCAAAAAGTGGCCAATAATTTTTTAAAAAATGATCCATCTTTTGCAAAAGTAGTAGAAACATAATAAAGGAGGAAGAAACTTGATTCCACAGTGAATCTACAACCCAACACATAGAAACGGATGTCAAGTTATTTTTGCTTGGTGTAGAAAAACCTTCTAAAGGTCGTGAGGCCCAGTTCTTAATTCTAACTCTTTAATTCTTATAACCCAGTTAATCGTGTGTGCTTGGAGAATTCATTAAACTCTTCCAGGCCTCAGTTATCTGTAAAAGGAGATGTGGGTAGAGATCAAAATCACTTCCAACTTTAAGATGAAAACCAGGTCTTTATATTATTTTTGATAGTCTGAAACATGGCCTTGATCATTTGTTTTTCTGTTGTCGTTTGAAGAAGGAATGTAAAATTTTTAAGTTATTAGTTTTGTATGGGGAAAAAAGTGAAAGTGAAATGGAAGTCGCTCAGTTGTGTCTGACTCTTTGTGACCCCCATGGACTGTAGCCTACGAGGCTCCTCCATCCATGGAATTTTCCAGGCAAGATTACTGGAGTGGGTTGCCATTATCTTCTCCATGGGGAAAAAATCATGCCTTCAGTTAAATATCACTGTGAGAACAACTGCTGCTTAAAGTCTCTGCTGACTGCTATGAATGTCTGAAATGACTCAGAATGAAAGGCCTTTGCATTCTGTTGCAAAAATAATGGAATAATGGAGTAGCAGTAGTATACCTATCACGGTCAGGTATAAAAAAGTCAGCCATCAACTTTTTGTGTCCTCCAGATCATCTATATTATGTAACGTGTGTGCTTGCTCAGTATGTCTGACTCTTTGTGACCCCTAGACTGTGGCCTGCCAAGTTCCTCTGTCCTTGGAAATTTCCTGTCAAGAATAGTGAAGTGGGTTGCCATCTCCTACTTCAGGGGATCTTCCCGACCCAGGGATGGAACCCATGTCTCCTGCATCTCTCGCATTGGCAGGCAGATTCTTAGCACAGCCTCCAATGCACTGCCTAGAAAGCCCACACCATTGGGCTTTCTTGAGCTGCAATTGTTAAATGTTTGAATACAGGGTAAAAGAACAAAAACTAGAAAAACTTCCAGTTTTCTATTTTAAATGAAAAATGATACACTACAACTGCCATGAATACATGATCAGTTCAGTTCAGTTCAGTTGCTCAGGCGTGTCCAACACTTTGCAACCCCATGGACTGCAGGATGACAGACCTCCCTGTCCATCACCAACTCCCAGAGTTTACTTAAACTCAAGACCATTGAATCAGTGGTACCATCCAACCTTCTCATCCTCTGTTGTCCACTGCTCCTTCTGCCTTCAATCTTTCCCAGCATCAGGGTCTTTTCAAATGAGGCAGTTCTCATCAGGTGGCCAGAGTATTGGAGTTTCAGCTTCAGCATCAGTCCTTCCAATGAACACCCAGGACTCATCTCCTTTAGGATGGACTGGGTGGTTCTCCTTGCAGTCCAAGGGACTCTCAAGAGTCTTCTCCAACACCACAGTTCAAAAGCATCAATTTTTTGGCACTCAGCTTTCTTTATAGTCCAACTCTCACATCCATACATGACTACTGGAAAACCATAACTTTGACTAGACAGACCTTTGTTAACAAAGTAATGTCTCTGCTTTTTAATATGCTGTGTAGGTCGGTCATAACTTTCCGGCCAAGAAATAAGCATCTTTTAATTTCATGGCTGCAGTCACCATTTGCAGTGATTTGGGAGCCCAAAAAAATAAAGTCTGTCACTGTTTCCACTGTTTCCCAGTCTGTTTGCATAAAGTGATGGGACCTGATGCCATGATCTTAGTTTTCTGAATATTGAGTTTTAAGTCAACTTTTTCACTCTCTTCTTTCACTTTCATCAAGAGGCTCTTTAGTTCCTCTTCGTTTTCTGCCATAAGGGTGGTGCCATCTGTGTATCCGAGGTTATTGATATTTCTCTTGGCAATCTTGATTCCAGCTTGTGCTTCATCTAACCCAGTGTTTCTCATGATGTACTCTGCATGTAAGTTAAATAAGCAGGGGGACAATATACAGCCTTGATGTACTCCTTTCCCAATTTGGAACCAGTCTGTTTTTCCATGTCCAGTTCTAACTGTTGCTTCCTGACCTGCATCTGGATTTCTCAAGAGGCAGGTAAGGTGGTCTGGTATTCTCATCTATTTAAGAATTTTCACAGTTTATTGTGATCCACACAGTCAAAAGTTTTGGCATAGTCAATAAAGCAGAAGTAGATGTTTTTTTCTGGAACTTCTTGCTTTTTCAGTCATCCAACAGATATTGGCAATTTGATCTCTGACTCCTATGCCTTTTCTAAACCCAACTTGAACATCTGGAAGTTCATGGTTCATGTATTATTGAAACTTGACTTGGAGAATTTTGAGCACTACTTTGCTAGTGTGTGAGATGAGTGCAATTGTGCAGTAGTTTGAGCATTCTTTGGCATTGCTTTTCTTTGGGATTGGAATGAAAACTGACCTTTTCCAGTCTTGTGGCCACTGCTGAGTTTTCCAAATTTGCTGACATATTGAGTGCAGCACTTTAACAGCATCATCTTTTAGGATTTGAAATAGCTCAACTGGAATTCCATCACCTCTACTAGCTTTGTTCGTAGTGATGCTTCCTTGACTTTACCTTTCCAGGATGTCTGGCTCTAGGTGAGTGATCACACCATTGTGATTATCTGAGTTGTGATGATCTTTTTTTTATAGTTCTTCTGTGTATTCTGGCCACCTTATCTTAATATCTTCTGCTTCTGTTAGGTCCATACTATTTCTGTTCTTTATGTGCCCATCTTTACATTTAAAGTTCTCTTAGTATCTAATTTTCTTGAAGAGATCTCTAGTCTTTCCCTTTCTTTTGTTTTCCTCTATTTCTTTGCA